GGCCTTCCTATTGGATGTCTTGAAGTCAAACTGATGGACGTTGGCTCTATGGGGTATCTCTCGACTGACACAATCCATGGTAAGGTTTCGCCGCTTTGTAGTAGTAGAAGTAGTAGTAGTAGTAGTAGTAGTAGTAGTAGAGGTAGTAGTAGTAGTAGAGGTAGTAGTAGAGGTAGTAGTAGTAGTTGTAGTAGTAGTAGTAGTAGTAGTAGTAGTAGTAGTAGTAGTAGCCTTGCATGTTCCAACTTCAGATGCCGATGGTGCCCATCCTATAGCGTGTAAGGGACGAGGTGAAATTTGCTATAGAGGCCCTTCCACATTTTTGGGGTAACTTCACAAGCGCGTGGTACTCTTTGGTGTTAATTGTATGCCTTAGGTATTACAATATGCCCGAGAAGACCAGGGAGACCATCGATTCGGATGGTTGGGTCCACAGTGGAGATATCGGGATTTGGCTCACCAGTGGTCAGTTGAAAATCATCGACAGGAAAAAGAGTATATTCAAACTCAGTCAAGGAGGTAGTGCTAAGAGGCACCATCATCATATATACTACTTGTTTTTTCAGAATACATAGCTCCTGATAAGATCGAGAACGTCGTCACTCAGTCGCCGTTAGTGGCACAAGCCTTCGTGTATGGTAACAGTTTCCAGTCGCGACTGGTTGCTGTTGTAGTGCCGGACTTCGAGCGCTTGCTGGAACATTTCCCGAGCACTGCTGATGGCATTGAGTAAATGAGCGATGATCCTCCGGCACCACTATCGGACGGTGTTTTAGGAATACGAAGGCTCTGTGTGAGAGCGACGCCGTTCGAATTCTAGTCTTAAGAAGCATCCAAGAGTTCAGCGATAAAAATAAACTGCGTGGTTTCGAGAAGGTATGAAGCTGTTCATATATCAACGTCGACGACGCCCGAGACCTCAGGTAAAAGCTGTCCATCTGAGTCCCGTCCCCTTCACTGCTGAGAATGGTCTCTTGACTCCGTCATTCAAGTTGAAGAGAGATGTGGCTTTGAAGACCTTCCAGAAGGATATTGACATGCTTTATGAAAACATCGGGGATAAGGTACGCTTTATCGTTCACTAGTAAAGCAGTTATGTTTCCATTTTCTCAGATGGCTGTTGCTCCCCGTACTGAACAATAATCCCGTGAACCACACAGGCCTGTTTCGTTTTACTGTTACTTTCTGTTCCTCTCGGTCTGTGTGCTGAGCCTTTGATGAGAGAGTAGCTGTTTGTCACCAATTTTGGCTTCCATCACAATAGTCGTGACGCTGGGGAATCCCAGAAAAGACCACTTCAGCAGGTCTACCGTCATGATACCTTTGTTGATGGTTTCTGTCTAGTATTGTCTCTTTCTCGTCATCGTAAAACAACTTTCATATCCATACCTCGTACTTCACGTTTGAAGAGTTGACAGCTGTTTTCTGATCCGACGTAATACACTCAGATGGTAATAATGTTTGTCTCCTGCGAGAGCTGATTTGTGTTGACGTAGCCCATGTATAAAATCCTATCCGACGCTCACCATACCCCCCCGAAAAACCCCATATTCAAATACGGATATTTTCAATCCCCTCCCTGCAAACTTACGGTTAGCATAACATCAACTTATTGGAAAATCGACAAAACTCTTTAGCAGGAATTCACGTGTATTATGTTCCGATTCGCGGATTGTATTCAGGAGCGTCTTGGCCGATGGTAGTAAATGACCAACACAAATCATAAGCAGACGATAACAATCTTATGTTCAGATGAAAAGTCTTGGGGACTTGATTCCCCATTCAAAAGTTGTTTCAAAAATACGCGATCGTCTTCAACAGACTTGCCGTCAATCAGTCTGGCGCAGATTCTGCTTACCACCAACCTGACATGAAACATATTCGACAACTCTCTTCCTGCACCAAAGCCAGTCCCGTCCGCGAGTGTAGTACCTTGTCACCGATTCCGATGTACATGTCATCAACCTCTTTTTGGAACCTGGCGCTGGCAACGTTGCGTTTGAGCTTGAACGAAGGTGTGAGAAGGTCGTTCTCGACGGTGAAAGGTTCGGGAATAAGATGGATTGCCTTGACCTACGAGACCGCATGTTAGCTGTTACAACACAAGTGGATTGAGGTCATCCCTCACCATTTCAAATCCTCGGAGTCTCTCTGCGATTGAGTACTCTCGAACACTGTCCAGAATAGCCTTATTAACTTGCTCGTTCTTGCAAAGGCTGGCAGGATCACTGAAGGGCAGTGGCTCACCAAACTAACTATGATGGCAGTCGTGGTGACACGTACGTCTTCCCTGCCTGTATGCCAGGGATACTTTCAAGCATCTCGAAGTCCGGAACGATCACAGCGACCAGACAGGAGTGGAAACTGTTGCCAAAAACGAAGGCTTGAGCAATCAAGCGAGACTGGGTGATCACGTTCTCAACGCGCTCGGCGGAAACATACTCTAACACGCAACACAGCGTCAACAACAATTCCGCTGAAAATGTAAAACCCACCTCCCTGACTCAGCTTGAAGATGCTCTTCTTCCTATCGATGATCTTCAGCCGACCAGTGGTGAGCCACAGACCAACATCCCCACTATGAAGCCATCCGTCCTCATCAATGGCCTCCTCAGTTTTATCAGGCATCTTGTAGTATCTAATACAACACATAACTCATATCAATACTCCGAAAAAGAACCTTCACCCTTGGAAAACTGAAGGACCTCTAAAGCAGATCTCTCCCCGTCCCTTGCATTCGATCGCGGCATCACCACTACCTACACAAAAACAATCTTACTCGGTTCGAGTAATATAAGAACATACCATGCTGAGTGTCCGTAGATAGGTACCCCATCTCTGGCACATCAAAAAGCTTGATATCCATACAGCAAACTGGTTGTCCAACATGACCCGTAGTGAAGTCGTGAGGATGCGAATAGGTAGCAAGGCAGGTGCACTCTGTTTGTCCATAACCCTCGGCCACAGCGCAGCCAAAAAATACCCTTAAAAAGTCCATAACATGAGTAGCAAGAGGAGCACTCCCACTGGCAACCAACTGAACTCTGTCCAAACCTATCCTCGCCTTAATCTTATCGAAGACCAATTTGTCCCATAGAGGATGCTTCAATATCCCTTGTTCTAATCTAGCTTTCTTAGCAGCCATTGCATGCTCGAAAAGATAGGACTTGATTCCACCAGCAGCACGAGCACCGAGTGTGATCTTGTCGTAAAGACGATTCAGCAACCTTGGCACCGACACGAAAATGGTCGGTCTGAGCGCAGCGATATCCTCCATAATCTTCAAAGGCTCTCCTTGATAAAAGCCAACCGCAACTCCAAGATGAACTAGACTTATACTGATCAACCTCTCCATAATGTGTGGCAGCGGCAAGTAGCTGAGATAGTATTGTTGAGAGCCTCTTATATCCATGATGGGAGTCTTAGTACCCAAAAAGACTATGAAAGAACTCACATTGGCCACTATATTGCCATGAGAGTTCAGGGCACCTTTGGGATCACCAGTGGTACCACTGGTATAACAAAAGGTAGCGATATCGGTGGGATCACCCTCTAGGGGTTCATCATCAAATTTGCTTCCTGTGTTCTCGACATCAATGAAGCTATGCAACTTTAGCCCGGCCTCGGTCATAGCAGTAGTCACTGATTCTGAGCATGCCTCAGGATCGACACAGATGATGTTGGTCAGAGAGGGGCACTCAGCCTTGCAAGCCACAAGGCGAGGGATCTGCGAGGCGGTACAGACTACTGTCTCCAGTACCACTTGATTCACGATGTAGTCGACGACATCCTCGCCGAGGGTATCATAAAGGGGTACCGTCGTAGCCCTCCTAGTGAATGCTCCTTGCTCAGCGATGATCCATTCGGATCTGTTCTTCATGTAGATACCGATTACTCTCATCGAGCCATCCCCAGATTTGGATAGTAGATTGAGATGCTCCAATCCTCTACCGAAATTGAGTATTCGATCATAAACCTCTTTATAAGTCTGCCATTCGTAAGGGCCAACCGAACCATCATCCAATCTAGGACGAGTCCCGTGGCAGGGCTGATCGGCATACTTCTCAGCGGCCTGAAAGATTGTATTCGTCAGAGGAAACAGTAAACAAAGCGCAGCGATAGCTCAGCCAATGGTCAACAAAAAGTCTCGAAATCCTCAGCATAAGCAACCCTACTCACGCACCTTGCGGAAAATGGCGAAGCTGGAATCCAACGACTCGTCACCGTCAATGACACTGAGGTTACCCTCAGCGGCATCTACATTTCTGTAGATTGGTCCGCTCTTACCCGGAATAGCCGAGTCGGGAACCTATGCAAACTAGTTTCTGACTGCTACAACAGTCCCATCTGATGCTCACCTCGTACGCGTAGGGTGATGGTGGAGACACAGAAACTGAGTTTCCCATATTTTTATAGGAAGTTCAATAACTGAGGACCATCACGCATCTCGAGACACCATAACGATCAAGTTTCACGCCTCCAGCATCGCGGCTAGCTTGTGCGCGCTGCCGTCTCTGTGGCTGGGTGATGTTCATCCGCCCAGTTGGAGGCAGACGGCTGGAGTTTTCACTTGACCACCAATTCTGACTCTATCTCTAGTTCACTCCTCGAAATCCTAGAGCACCATTGAGGATATGATCTAAGAAAATTGGGTCCATTGGTAGAGGCATACACCAACTCCGCCATGCACGCATGAGCATTGTTCACGCGTGCAGGGCGTAGCGAGGAGTGGCAGGTCCCGTCATCAACGATCGGTCATGTCTCGCGCAACTCTGATCGCGCAATTCTCAACCACACCCTTCGGAGACTCACACCGCCACTATTGGGACCGCTCCCAGTGGAAGCCTCCCACTCGAGTGCGATGATGGAAAGATGCATCAGGCGGATAATGACAGATCCTTTTCGAGCGGAGTGGACCTTTGTGAGACCACAATGATCTCTGTGGAGTTAACAGGAATTGCAGTCCCGCCGTACGTGCGGATGTACGGCCGAGTGTTGTGCCCGAGATAAGCATAAGTGTACGTATAAACATGCGACTTCACGCGGTATAAAATTCGTTTGGTAGCGCAAAAGTCAAAGTCTAGTTTTATTCGATTGATTATGAGAGAATCATCACACTAAGGCATATCCGAAGTGGCATAGCCGCCCCGGCCGCAAAATGGATTGTACTGAAGCTTATTTTAGGCTGGCATAGCTGCCCCAGCCGGACAAATTTGTTGTATCAAGGCATATCTCGGGGTGTCATAGTCACCCCGCCCGAAGAGAATGGGTTTACTAAGACATATCTTAGGCTGGCATAGCCGCCCCGCCCAGAGAAATTGGTTGTGATACGGCTTATCTTGGAGTGGCCCAGCCGCCCCGTCTGTGGGAATTGCTTATACTTGAGCATTTTGTAGGCTGGCATAGCCGCCCCGTCCGCAGAAATTGCTTGTACTTAGGCATAACTCAGGCTGGCATAGCCGCCCCGTCCGCAGAAATTGCTTGTACTTAGGCATAACTCAGGCTGGCATAGCCGCCCCGTCCGCAGAAATTGCTTGTACTTAGGCATAACTCAGGCTGGCATAGCCGCCCCGTCCGCAGAAATTGCGTGTACTTAGGCATAACTCAGGCTGGCATAGCCGCCCCGTCCGCAGAAATTGCTTGTACTTAGTCATAACTCAGGCTGGCATAGCCGCCCCGTCCGCAGAAATTGCTTGTACTTAGGCATAACTCAGGCTGGCATAGCCGCCCCGTCCGCAGAAATTGCTTGTACTTAGGCATAACTCAGGCTGGCATAGCCGCCCCGTCCGCAGAAATTGCGTGTACTTGGGCATGACTCAGGCTGGCATAGCCGCCCCGTCCGCAGAAATTGCTTGTACTTGGGCATAACTCAGGCTGGCATAGCTGCCCCGTCCGCAGAAATTGCTTGTACTCAGGCATAACTCAGGCTGGCATAGCTGCCCCGTCCGCAGAAATTGCTTGTACTTAGGCATAACTCAGGCTGGCATAGCCGCCCCGTCCGCAGAAATTGGTATTACTGCGGAATATATAAGATAAATCTCAAATCCAGTTTGCGAACTACGAAAACTGCTTTGCTGTGTTAAAAGTTGGAACACAACGGAGCAATTCCCATCGGGTTACTGTGGAAAGCCGAGGTAGCGGATATCCTTCTAGGTTTTATTTTACTTCCAATATGGGTTCTTGCTGCTTTCGTGGCAAGTCCAGCATCGGGTCTTTCGGTGAATCCTCTCCTCCTGTACAAAATGCGTCCCCGGTTTGTTCGGACAAGCGCAGGCGTCGATTGTCGATGAATCAAGGCACGGACATGGGATTCAGAGCTACGTCGAGCTCGGACACGGAGGTCGATGAGACCTATCAACAGGGTAGTGAATGAATGGTCTACTTTGACATTCCATGGGGTCGTTGTTTAGGTAGAATAGTGATAGGAGATGAACCTCATAGGCGCTCCGATAGGCGGTTGTCCATAACCAGCCAGGCCGTTGCTGGCCCGCTCTCGCAACAGAAAGGTTTCGCGGTAGTAGAAGCTTTGAAAAGGGTGTTCACTATCGCCTGGTAGACACACTTCACACTCTTAGGATAAAATGTATGAGAAGCAGGGGACGACTGTTCCTACGACAATTGGATATGTCTGTAAGAAGGGCCTGAAGCCGGATAGTCCCAATCAGGATGACTTTGATATTGTTATATCGGATGATAGCGAAATGTAGTACTATGCTACCATCTCATTGACAATAGGTGTAAGAGGGGTGTATGCAGATACGCAGTCTTCGATGGTCATGGACCTTGTGGCCATATTGTGTCCAAGCTCTGTCAGGAGCTTTTACCTGATGTAGGTATCGGGTTATACTCTGGTCCCGCGCTCCGTAACCCTTTCTCAGTTGATTACCAATGATCCCAATTTTGAAGATGATTTGTCTAAGGCATTTAAAACTGCTTTTATCCGTACTCATGGTAACAATAGCAGTAGCGAGTACCGCTATCGACAATGTACTTACATTCAGTCCTATGCGAGCATATTGCGGAGTCGCAAGACAACTTCGACTGCTCTTTTTCTGGCTCAACTGCGACAATCGTTCTGCGCCGTGATGACTCACTGTACTGCGCATGGGTAGGCGATTCACGAGCTGTGCTGGCCACCATCAAGGTAAGCTTACGCAGTTTTACTCCAATAGAAGGTGCCTCTGCAGTCGTCTCTATCCGGCAATCGTCTCGTAGCTGTAGATCTATCCCGAGACCACAAACCCGAGTTACCCGACGAGAGAGCTCGCATCGAATCGCAAGGTGGCAGAGTCCTCAGGCTCGGCGGTGATATTCCCTACAGAGTGTTCGTGAAATGTAAGTATGTTCACTTTCATCTGATCTGCATTGCCGCTTACTTCAGCCGCCTTCTACCCCGGTTTAGCAATGACTAGGTCTATAGGAGATATTGTTGGTGTATCGGCTGGGATCTCACACATTCCGGAGGTTTCTGAGCAGTACGGTCCCCCAACCTGAATTCGTTCATACCGTATATCAGGACCATCAACGAGAGCGCTGATAAGTTTGTCATTGTAGCCAGCGATGGAGTATGGGAATTCATATCCAGTCAAGAAGCCGTTGATATTATAAGTAATGATCGCTGTTCCCGGTAATTGTAGGATGGGCTCAAACCAGATAAATACCCACCTAGTGAAGCACAGACTGCAGCAGAGGCTCTGGCGTATGAAGCTTGGCTGCGGTGGATAAAGGAAGAGTGCGGCAAAGTAGTTGATGATATCACAGTCATCGTTACATGGCTGCATCCATCTATTTGATCTATGGTGGCTCCTACATGTACAATAAGTATAATAACTTTAATAGTGAACTATTCTATAATGCCTGTGAATCGATGCAGCAGCATTGCTACACTTCATTAACTCAATCTAAGGGATCAAACTTGATTGTTTTCTAGAGCCTCAGCCGAGCTCTATCGTCGCGCCTGTCTTGTTTGCTTATGGCCCGCCAATATGATGTCCGCTGAAATTGCCATCTTTTCCTCCAGTTCTTGAGGTCTCAAACTCATTTTCGTTGTCCGCTACTACGAGGTGAATAGGCCTCATATTTTCAACGCCCTTCCCTTTTGTGTTGATAACAGGACGGGTGTACAAGTTCCTCACGAACTCGAGGTGTCGAGCAATCAGCTTCGTTTTGTCCTCTTAATGGTGGCTGCTGCTCCTACTCAAGCGAGGCCACAAGGGCGTGTCGGTGGCAGTAGCGACGGTGGTCATAGGAATAGAGGTTATAGGGTTCGGGAAAGGGAGGTATGGCCTATAGGCTCGCTCTACTAGATACGGGTGAGGCGTCTCTGGCGGCTGATCGTACCACAATGCTGCGGGTCAGCAATCTAACCCGTAATGTAGATGAGGAACACTTGAATAAAATATTTGGTGAATTAATGAACACCCATACCGCACTTGGCACGACAATATCTTCAGGAACGTATGCTCGCGTTGAGAGTGTTCACCTGGCTGTTGATGAACGGGTGATAAGACAGTTAACGTCTGCTTGATGACGGGGTTATCGCTTCTTCTCAGAGCCACCTCTCGAAAGGCTATGCGTACGTCCTCTTCGCCACTCGTGAGGGGGCGGAGGAAGCTTTTCTCCATGTAGACAAAGGACAGATTGATGGGAACGTGGTCAAGGTGATATTCTTTTCCGACTGGGCCTGCGATCACCTTTGGATATCTTCTGCAGGTCGTTTTCGTAACACCCCCCGCACCTCCCGCCGAGAGGCCTCGGAAGGCAGCAGTGCCCAGTGGTACAAGCAGTGTCGGTGATCGTAGGCCCCCTTTGATTGAGCACGTGGTGGTGACTTGTCGGCTCAGGTAGCCGCTCCCCTCCAAAGCACAACCGGGATGGTGCTGGTCACCACAGTCGGTGAGGATCGTTTTCACTTCCCATCAGCAGCCCACAATTCCCTTTCTAGGTTGCGTAGCCCGTCATCTTCGAGCTCCTCATCATCTGCGTCTGGCCTCTCTTCCGATACTGATGGTCGACGCACACGTCGCAGAAGAGGTCGCTCAAGATCTGGGGGAGAGCGGCGGGTGGGCAAACCTGGATAGAGTGTTTCCGATCGTTTCTATCAGCTCGTGTTCTATGGCTTTTTGACTAGCTCGTTTCAGGGTAACCGAGATAGGGGCTACCGGCGATAAGGAAGTTTATCTCACGTTTCTGTGAATCTTGTTTAGTTTGGCAATTTATGGGTGACACAACGTGTAACATAGGCAAACACGAGGATAAGTGCAGTGCTGTACCGGAGCCAGTGCCTCCCGACCTGCTACCGCATATTGGCAATAACTAGAGAAGTTCAATCCCTGCTTAGATTCAACAATCGCCGGGCTCCTCTCTCTAGCTCCGCCTCACGGGATTTCATGTCGAACCGATTATGCACCTCAGCTTGAGCTCTAGCAAATACCCGATCGACCGAGAGTAGGAGCGTTCTACGAACCATGGGATTAAGATAGGCCAGATCTCGCATTTGAGAAGAGGCAAGGAGATTCTCCTTAGAAGAGTCTACCGTGGATGCTGAGCGCAGCTAATCGTGTGCTGAGCTGGAGAAAGGGAAGTGCGAAGTCTATGACATGGGGTCGGCCACTCGTATTCCTAGTGAGGAACAGCTCGGTTGGCAACCCAGCGGCAAGGCTGGGAGCCAGGTTCGGTCAGGGGTGGTTCTGTGCAAGGAGTTGCAAAATCTGACTATAGCAGAGACTGCAGGCATCGAGATGAGCTAGGCAATTTGCAGCACTTCGTTTGGACTGTCGTTCCGCGACACTGCCCAAGTTCATGGCGTCGGAAGTATTGAGGATACGGCGTATCTGGTACGCTTCCGCACCAGATTTCCGTATGGTTCACAGAACGGCAGCCTCTGCTCCTTGGAGTGCGAAGAAATCTTGCGCCTCAGCCGTTATTCCGCCTCTTTCGATTAACTACCACATGTGGGAGAGACACTCGAGGAGTGGGACAAAAGGCAGTCGGAGTTGGCCTACACGTCTGCTAGGTCTGGCGCAGGTCGAAGCCTGGGAAGAAACAGGTTGCTGCTAAGTTTAGAAAGATACTAGACTGTGTGTACGAAGGGCGCAGTCGAGACTGTCTTGCTGTGCGGGACTATTTCAAAGGGGGCATTGAAAGACTGCATATGGAGGCTCAACGAGCCACGGGAAGGAGATAGACCGAGTTTTGCGATTGGGGAGGGGCAAGCAGGATCTACCGCGCAGGCTGAGAGCAACCAATCGTCTGCTGAGCCGGAGGACAAGGATAATCTGCATTCGATGATCGAATTTCGATCGGAGTTGCATTCCTAGCTAGCGATTTCTCGTAGCTGCCCTGTTGTGGGATTATGAGCAAAACAGAATATATCTCAGGCGAGAGCTGCGCCAAGTAATCAGTGAGCATACGTTGAGTTGCGACCATCAGCGAGACGTGATATTAGCATGCTTTTTGATCACGGTGATGAAAAAGGCGAGACGCTATTTTGGCCGAAGGTCCTCCCGTGTAGTTGTGTACTCGACGATCATCCAACGATAGCTAAGGTATAGTCTCTTAAACTAGCGATAATGTCCCCAACCTGGAAGTGTATCAGAAGATATCGTGCATGGGAAGCAGGAGGGCTGACCGTGTATCCCCCTTTTCCGACGAACGAATCAACCTTGGGAGATGGGGCGCACGACATAACTCGTCGAACTTCAGCCCCACGGTGGGTGCTTTTCTCGACATTTATTTCACCAGCGTCTTGATCACGATTCCACCGGGCAGAGTCTTCCCGCGCAGAATTCGGCCATTCGAGTTTGTTCACATAATAAAATTCACAATCCTTACCGCTTCGAACACTGAGTATTTATATTTCGAACATCCAACAGACATTCTAGTAGAATGTTTCTACTCTCCTTTCTCTCAAGACACACATATTGGCCTCAGCGGCATGTTGATGACACACAACACGTGCGGTGGCACATCTTCATGATCTGTCCTCTGTCCAAGCACAGCAGCTACGGTGGTTGGTTCCGATCCTTCAGAGTCGTTCACCATTCATCGATTGACTTGAACACAACAGAAGAGATAGCTCTGGATGGAAACGATAGCTAATGGTCGTTAGTTGGTACGATGATCTCTCTCTCTAGCAGTAAACTGTACTGATGATGATGACTTGTAAAGAGGACAGGAGAGAATGTACACTAGGTCGAAGCCCCTGTCGTGACAAGCGCTCACATAGTTGCCGATTTGTGAGCACCACAGAAATGAAACTCGGGTGAATAACATGTAATGGAGCGTTGGCTTTACTCTGTATAGAGGAACTGTAAAAATTAGAGTTGGATAAAGCAGAGTTTACTGTTGGTCACGAGCCATTATGGTCATGAAACAACGGCAGGGCTCGACCACTGCTCGCTCAGCACAATGCTGAGGTCGGGCAGGATTACTGTGAGCGTTGGAAGGGATAGAGGTATAGTCTCAGGCGAGGTTACATTTGACAGAAAATACGTGTCCAAGTCAAGATTATTGCTTCTTACGGGTCTTCATGCGGTTTGAGTTAACCTGAATGCAAGCACCGGGGATCGAACCTGGGTGGAAAACACGAGACCGTTCTCACTTTACGTGCCCGCCACACCATCCTCGAATACAGAATCAAAATCTTCCGAGTCAAAGAAGTATGCAGCAGACTCCGTCCGATCGCTAGAAGACGATGATCGCGTCATGTTACCGCCTCCCATATTGCGGCCGATCACTGGCCTGCCACAATAACCACTCCTCTCCATATACCCAAAACTTCGGCCCTACGTTTCTTCCCCATTATCACTTGACAGGGACAACCATCTCGGTCCGGCGCCCCCTAAGGCGGCACTGCTAGACCGGGGCGTGTCGATGACACTAGGACTGGATGCCTCGTGAGCGACTTCATGTACATCATCGAGACTCTCAAGATCGACCATGAAATGCTCCTGTTCAGCAAGTCGTTGCTCCTCCTCCTCCAACTCTTCAATTTCTCTCGGGGCAAATTGCTCCCACTTGGACGGATAGTCGAGAGCCTCGATGTTATCATGAGGGTCATAGGGAGGCTTATTGCCTGAGCGAAGCGGTGAACGCGCGCCACGAAAATGCAACTCGATACACTTACAGACAGCTGTGAGCTCAGCTCGGACGAAATCATCATCGCCATTCACGTTGCAACACATGAGCGCTGGACGTAGGAACCGCTGCTCCGGTCGCGCCTTATACACAAACCCCGTACAATCGTAGGATGTTGAACTGAGAAATTTCGCATCGCTCCGCTAAGAAAATGTGAAATATTTCATCCGAACTTACTCGCCGGCAGCCAGTATACCTCCTTCTGGGCCTATGGCTTCTACTTTTCGGAAGAATGCTACTTTGCCGTGTTGAAAGTATATCCCCACTCTGACCGACACTATGTTCCGCAATGCTGAATGGAGACAGTCTCGCAACAGCAAGTGGTTCTCTGTCGAGTCCTCTGAACCGGCAACCTGATATGCTGAGTGGTGACACGAACCACAGTGTCACCCTACCGCATAGGTCTCGAACTGGTCGAAATATTTCCCTTGTGAGGACAACACGGCAGAGAGCGGCCCGAAGGCTATCGCCCACATTGAGGGATCCGTCTCCAAGGCGAAGTCGCAGGTCTCCATCTTCTCCACAGACCGACCCGACGAGTCCGTCAACTTCGAACTTGGAATTTCCAGGGAGTCCATATCAGACGCTGTCGTAGACACACTACAAGACGGCGTTGGTGTCACCATATGGCTGCCATCGATGACCTGCAATACACTAGACCGACCCGGACTGCCCCATAGGGCCTACCCCGACCACCGCTCGAGTAGCACTAGGGCTGAAATGAAGGTCTACTAAGTACTCCAAATAGATGCCCCTCTCGTGCGTCGTTGGTATCTACCACAACATCTCACACCCTCCCCTACACGCTGTTGTATTACTACCTCAAACTTGCTTGGACAAGTGAACGAACAGGACCCCGAAGGTACCGATCTAACTCGACCGCCACCATTATCATCACCCTGTGCCGCATGAGACTCCCCCTGCAAGCCCGTGTGCTGTGACGGCGAGACGTCCTCCAGAGCAATGCTCAGGTCCTCGGCAGTGATATCAGTAACCTCTGTAGACCTCAGTTGGACTGAGGACGGCACCCCATCGCGTGGCACCAGATAAGGACACTGTAAAGGAACATTAATAGGAAGGACCAGAACAGCCAATAGGCGCACCTCTTCGAATGCGATACCGTTCATGAAGTGCCCACACCGCAAGGGCCAGAAACGGTAGTCGTCCTTCTCGCGATTCACCGCGTGCTTCAGTGACGTCCCAGAAGTCCCGGCGTAGATGGAGGGGTCGTCGAAGATTTCCCCGTCCATTGCGAAGCCATCGAATAGGAGTAAGCCGGTTTGCCTCCACACCGGTCCCAACAATTGCCGCACTCGCCTGAGGGAAATGCAGTACAGCAAGAGTACGAGGACAGTGACGCTCACTGGCTGGTCGTAGCCATCGCACTTAGGGAGCGGAAACCCAGGAATAGTCCGACAGACTGGATTGCCTCCTCTGGGAGTTCCCCCATAAAGTCACGCCCCTTCCACGATTCCTTTATGACCAGCTCTCGAGCTCTTTGCAGAAGTTCCAATATACTTTCCTCGGGCAGGCCGCCCGCTACTTCAAGTAAAGCATCAATGCTAGGGGATACATCTTTGCTATGATTCCATACAGAACAACATCGTACAGAGGAGCGAATACTACTGGATGATGAAGCAGTAGTAGTGGATAATGACATATGAAGTCAACTAAAACGGAAGGAAATTCAATACCGTCTCGGTGTGAACTCAAGTCGCAAAAAATGATACCACACCTTGTGGAGGTGAACGTAACATGGAACGTAGTATACGATAGCTCTTCCATACTTAAAACGTAGCGCAGTCTGATCTTAGGAAAACGTTCATTATATAACGCGCTGAAAGACAACGGCGAGCTTGTTACGATTCCCATGAAAAACACTACTCCGATGAACCCGGAAAATATTTCAATTTTCTTGAGCTGGTACCACAAAATGAAAAAAAATTTCCGTGGTTTAGGTTTCCATGCGGTATCGCCTCACTCCTCGCGACTGTACAGTTCAGCAGACTGTTTACCCCATATTAGCGTGAACAATAAAGGAGGTCATTGAGCCTACTTCTACTAGTAATTTTGTGAAAGCATAGACGGAGCAAACCCTATCTACATGCAGTTGGAAATTTACGAACAATTTCCACGCCCAAGCTGAGCAAGCGTCACTGATTCCCGATCGTATTCTACTGCCTCGGCAGAGTCATCAAATCCCTCCCCTACGTCGATACAGTCGTCAGGGTTGATACAAATGTCCTCCCCTGCCTGTCGGGCCTCAGAGTTTTCCTCCTTGGGTTGCCTTAGTAGGAGAGGTCGATATTGAGTTCTAAGTCGATATAGAGTTCGAAACCCGTATGAGCTGAGTCAGCTCAGCTGACAGCCAGCGGCTAGGGCTTCTATTATTCGACGACGTTCAGCACGTCACACGTGGTGCGGGACGCGGCGAAGAATTATCGATTAGTTGGGCGAGCGCGTGACGCAAGAAGAATCTTGCGTTGAAGAATGACTGCATCGATCACGCTATAGTTGCTGCTACTGGTCTACATTGAAGTGTTGGCTATGATGAATCAACCCATATTCTTGCTATTACCACCGCAGAGGTAACGATGAAGTTATACGGTTGAATCTGACGCCATAGTTGCTGATGCCTTTGATGATAAACGAATTTTTGACAGTAATCCACCGAGTCTTCTGTTCAGCAGAGGAGCTGCGGATTGAACAATTCTTTGGCTGTGTCTGAGGTTCTCTGATGAAAATGAACTAGTGATGAAATCAACCCTTTAATGGCTAGGATTCGTCTGTGATGTGGTAGGTGGAGGTCGCCGTTGTTACACTGGGCGCTCCTAGCCGCGTACGGGTAGTGGTAGAGTGAGGACGAATAACTGCAGTGGATTTAACCGCTTCGCTCCGCTACTGGTCGTCGTCGGTCTACTACGCTGCTAGAGTGATTACGAGAGAATCTTTGCCATCCGAATGTTAGTGGTTCGTGTTGGCGACAAGCACTCTTTAACACTCTATTAAAGGTGTTGTTGTATATGATGATGATCATTGAAAATTGAGAATAGGTCGAATCTTAATCGATCTAATCGAAGTGTCGATACTCATTAGCCCAACTGAATAAACAACTTTCGAAATCATTCGCACTACCGTATCGATGCCAGGATTGGAGGCCTCGCAGTTGCTCTGTATGCTAAGTGTTGAATAGATCCTTTTTTGCTTTCCCTCATGGCTGAGGTCGGCAAGAAGA